ATTTGCGTCACGAGAGTAGGATTTTCATTTCGTATTTTCGTCGGTCGTTCGGAATCCTACTCAATCTTGTTTTTTTAAATTTTTTATGTTCTTGTAGCCCATGGTTTTTTCCAAAAAATGGCTCAAAAGTCACCCCCAATTTCTATTACACTTTCTAATACATATTGATGTCCTTATGCTGTGCAAAAAGTTTGAGCCAATTCTGACTTCAATTTTTCGAGTTACGGCCATTTTAAGAAAACGCCAAAATTCTGAAAAATACCCTGTGCTATAGCCCATGGTTTTTTCCAAAAAATGGCTAAAAAATCACCCCCAATTTTTATTCTATTTTCTGATACATATTGATGTCCTTATGCTCTGTAAAAAGTTTGAGCTGATTTCGACTTAAATTTTTAAAGTTATACCCATTTTAAAAAATTAGCAGATTTCTAAAAAATCCCTGCATATACCTAATAATACCTTATATAGCTTATGCTTATTTTCTAACTTACGTGTTTTGCTTTGAGTGTATGGTACATCCTCTTCTCCAATGAATCTCTCATTTCCTTCATCTTCAATCAACTCATTCACTAATAGTTTCAACTCCTCCTCACTAACATTAAATATCTAACAACAACAAATAAATAAATGAATAAATAAATAAATAAATAAATAATTAAAATAAAGTAAGTGGTCTTACATCGTGAACATGAGCAGCCATTATTTCTACAACTTTTGCTTGATAGCTCATGCTAGCTAGTGATTCAAGTGAAGGCATCATTTCTCTATTAAAGAAAGAAAGGCAGAGTATATGTGCATGTACATGTATTACAGTGTAGCCTCTATATAATGGACACTTTGGTACAGTAAGCTGTTCTGTTATACAAAAATCACCCCTCATTTTTATTACAATTTTCTGATGCATATTGATGTCCTTGTAACATATTTAAACTGATTCTGACTAAAACTTTTTGAACTTTTGAGTTATGACCATTTTAAAAATATGCAACTTTCCATGCTTTGTAGCTATAGTACAAGTACTATGCTAGTTTCATGCTAGTACC